CTGCAAAGTCAGTTGTTTGCTCCAAAGTTGTACCACCTTCACAGTATAGTGTTTGTGCTACTAGTACTGTTTTGCTCTTTTAAGTGCAGTTCCTCTCTAGAAGGAATATGCATGTTTTTAAAAGTGACAAAGCTACTATCCATGTGAGTAATAGACTGCAGGTATGCACCTTCCATCAGCTGTGAACCTGTGTGGTGAGCTTTGGAGGTGGCTTGCTTCCCTCTAAGGAAGAATCATTTTTCCCCCATAGCTCAACCTGACAGAACGTCCTGACTGTGTTCTACTTGACCTGCCTTTTGGCAGTGTCTGAAAGACAAAAGTAAATGACTGGGAAATCTGCAATGTATGCTGCCTGGAGCTGCCAGGGTGACTCCTGTTTTATATTGTAGGGTATCACCTGCCAGGAATGGGTTACTTTGCAAAAGATTCCTGACATAATGTGTCATTATCTATGAAGGAGGAATTCAGGGTGGTAACTCTCAAATGTTGCTCTACAAGCAATATGCACAGCTATTGTACAGTGACTTTGATAAGCAGGGACACAAAGTAGATGCTGGGATCAGATCACAAGTGATCTCATGCTGTGTCTTCAGAATGCCATGAGTCTTGTAGGCGGGAGCACCATAAATGGTGTGAGTGGTTGGATGAAGTACTATTTTTGTTCATCCTTTCCTTCTGCTGCTATCAGTCCTTACAGTAAATCCATAGGAGGTGAACCCCATATTTCAAGCTCCAGTTTGGGATAGGAACAGCCACGTATTGAAATTCAGGTGCTATTTATACATTGAGTTCTGGACTAGGAGTTACTGAAATGTTACTGAAATGAATAACTACATTCTGGAACCAGCCTAATGATCTTATTTGGACTAACTCTCAACATTTTGAACATAAGCCTTTGGCCACATTAAAGCTCTTTTGGATAGAGAAACAGCATGAAGGGACCCCTGTGTGGTGGAGAGAGGGCCTAATGAGACTAAACTCACAACAATCAGACTGTTGTAATGCACACCTGTAACAGTGGCCATCTAAATGGTCAATTTAGAGTCATTGACTGGTTCTGGAAATTTGAGTCCAATCACGTCTAAAAATACTCAGAACACTTGAAGTATGTTTCTATATTTAAACCACAGGAAAGTCAGCCTTCTGCCAGGTGAGGCAGGCCCCTGTGCCATGTTCCACTGCTGTGTCTCAGCATGGGGATGGCTGAGAATGGCCCAGGTGTCTATTGTTTCCTTCTGTGCTTTTCTCTGGCCTCTAAAACCTGCACCTAGATAGTGCTTCAGAGCCTGAGCTTTCCCTAGCAGTTCTCAGTCCAGAAAGCACACACCTGTTTAGTGACTGAGCTAAATGTGTCCTTAAATATTTCTCCACTGCTTTATTAAGATTTTTGCACTTACTTTAATATTGGTAACTTCCCCTATGTGGTAAAATTAGCAGGGTAGGAGACCAAAGTAACTGAAGCCTCCTTAAACATTGGCTAGAAGCAGAGGAAACAATGATTACTTTGGCAACTTGAAGGAAGATACATGGGTATTTTGTATCACACTGTATCTATGCTTAGAATTTTTCATACCTGATATGCTGACCCACAGTCCTAAAAGCTTCGGTGCCTCCCTGTCTCTGTGTCATTCTTTATATGAATTGAAGCTCTCTCTCACTTTAAGAGTTTGCCCAAAACCTGGTATTATAGATTTAGAGTAGTCTGGCATCTTCAACTTTTTATCAAAACAGATGTCATGTCATGTGATTGTAGAAAACTGGAACCATTTAGTTCCTTTAAACTTCCCTTTTCTGGTCATAATAGATGTGATGATTATGATGGTTATGGGGACTTAATTGTGAAATCTTCAGTAATGTGTTCAGTTAGTAAATTGGAAATTGAATGTATTCAATTTACTTTGCTTCCATTGTAAACAAACATGTCAGTCATTATTTCATTTCCATGTATACAGCTTCAGAAGCTTTTAACTGATACGTGCTGTAGTCTCCAAATCTCCATATGAAAGAGCAAGATGAATCTTAAATTTGTTTTCATAACACTTTAGACATCCAAGGAGATAAAATGAATTATTTTTTGATACTAACTTGATAGGTTTTTTCTTCAACAGTGACAGGGTACAGTGAATGATTAATTCTTCCTCCTGTTGCTGCGAAGTGCAAGAATGCCAAGAATTCCCAAATATGGGAAGCCTCACCTCTGAGCCCTCTCTTAACCACTGTGTTGAAATGCTTTGCTAAATCCCTGTCTTGAGACAGCAGTGTGTCCCAGGTGAACAAACAATAGAAACCATTAAATCTTTTGAAATTACTATGCCTGGGATGCCTCAGTAGAAGAGTTGTCCTATTTAATGGGAAGACTTAGTCTACCAAGTATGCTCAAAGTCAAAAATACTAGTGTAACTTGCAAAGAATGCTGAAAGAAAGTTCAAGGAATAGTTTGCATCTTCCATGTATGCTGTTTCAGATTCTTGAAATTTAATTCATAGCTATGAGTTGAGAGAGTTTATCCAGGTCCTGAAGGAGCAGCCTCTGTGAGGCATTTTGGGAGCGTGTACTCACACTTGCGTCTTGTCCTTTTTTGTCTCGTTTTCTAGAGATTCTGTTAGCTGAAATGGACCAGGGAGAAGATCTCTGCCAGTGCTGTCCTGCTGCAGGGAAGAGCAGTGCTTAGGACAGGGAACAGGAAGGGGAAGCTCTGCAGCTGATAGCAGCATCTGCTGCTGTCAAGGGTGCAAGTCTGCTTGCTGGAGTGGGGGGCTCCTAATGTTTGTCTGTAGCAGCTTGGATACTGTTTATATGTTGGTAGTGTCCTTTGGGAGGCAAGAGAGTAAAAATGAATGCTGAATTTGGACAAATTGGGAGCCTTTAGAGGCAGTGCAAATTCCAGTTTTACCCAGTGTTGTGCTGGTTTTCTGGAGGTGAAGTGTCAGTCTAGTTTGTGTGTTATGGGGCTCACTGGGCTGTAATGTTGTGTGAACACATCCTCAGGCCCTGTCCCTTTATGCTGGGTTTATCTCCCAGCTGATGTGGTTTGACAAGGCTGACTTTAATAATCCTTGCTAGGGATTTTGGGTTATCATATTCTACATAAATTTATGTACTCTTAGCAGATATAAATAGGAAAAAGACTGTTGTCAGCTATGTGGCCAGTAAAGGGAGAAGTGCTGTCTATATTTCAGCTGGGACTGAATTTGGCATCCAATAATATTACAGATGAATAACTTAAAACTGTAGACTGCGGAACTATGTCAATGGCTAAAAAAATACTTAAGAGGAAAAGAATTGAAGAAGGGGAAAAAACAGTATCATGAATGGTTTTATATATAGTAACTCTGATTTTAAAAGCATAAGTGAAATTTGCTTCAAAAGCAAATGTGAAAGGAAGTGTGAATGTCTAAAGACATGAGGATGTTCTTACTGTGGTGCTGGAGTTCTTTGTATGCAGCATTTGTATCTGTGTCCTTTGGAACTCTGCTTCTGATTGCAGAACACATAATTGCTGCTTGCACCAGTGATGTATCTTGAAGTGCTGTTTTATGCTTGTGTCTTGTAGATAGCATGATAGGAAGCAAGTAACTTCTTGATGAATCACTTCCTATTAAATATTCTTTACATTATATTAATTAGCTGAAATGACAAGCTAATGAATAGATTGGTAATCCTTTGTACTCAGCAGCCCCACCTTCTATGCACAGTTCAGTTTTGTAAACAGAATGTGAAGGCTCATGCACAATACACAAATAATGATACTAAATAATGTAAAAATCAGACTGTGAATTTAAAAGAGAAGTCTACATAAAAACATCTAGATTATTAGTGTATTGCATTAATTGTCTTTACTTCGTAACCATGAATGTGTTAAAGTTCAAAACTTTGGCATAGAGCAATCTAATAATTCATCAGGACACTTACAGAGAAAGGTAGGGAGTTTTTGATGTGTATACAAAGCCTGTCTGTAATTCTTTTTTTTTCAACAGACCTGCTGACTGACTTACATTTCCACACCAAATACAGAGGTCTTCTGATGGAGTAGGAATTCAACACTGCAACATGATTTATATAATGGAGAATTTTTTTTAAAAAATACCTTCAGTGTTTCAGTCTGCTTGTGGCCTCTTGTGTTGGTGTGGCCTCGTTGTGCAGGACTTGGAAAGTAGCTGTACTAACAAAATATGCAACAGAAAAAGAACAAAAATAGTAGAATTATGAAGAAAAGAAAAAAGGAGGAAAGACAAAGGTGACAGTGTCATGACCAAATAGGTCAGCACAGGAGCATTTTTGTCTGTTTTTGTGAAGGCCTGTAGCATTAAAAAGAGGTCACAGAATCACAGCATGGTTTGGATTGGTTGTGACATTTAAACGTGTTGTAGCCCAATTCCCCTGCAATATAGCAAGGTTGCTGTATCAGGTTGCTCAGAACCCCACCCAGCCTCGCCTCAAATGTTCCCAGGGGTGGAGCATCTGCCAGGCTCTGGGCAGCCTGTGCCAGTTTTTTACCACCCCCATAATAAAAAACTTCTTCCTTATATGTAATCTAAATCAACACTCATTGCATTTAAACCCATTACTCCCTGTCCTATTGCTACAGGCCCTGCTAAAATGTTTGTGTCTTTTATAACCCCTTCAAGTACCAACAGGCTGCAGTAAGGTCTCCCTGGAGCCTTCTCATCCTCAGTCTGAAAACCTCCAGCCTTTCCTCATAGGCATCTCACAGGAGAGATGCTCCTGTTCTCTGATCATCTATGGGGCCTCCTCAGGCCCTGCTGCACCAGGTCTGTGTCTTTTCTGTGCTGAGGACCCCTGAGTTGGATGCAGTACTCCAGGTGGGGTCTCATGAGGGCAGAGTAGAGGGATGGACGTTCCCTTCACCTGCTGGTCATGCTTCTTTTTCTGCAGCCCAGGATGTCTTTCTGGGCTGCAAGCATACATTGCTATAGTTCATTTATGTGGTTACCATATCATTTTACCCAGTGAATTATCCTTACTGCTTTACTGCTTGGGATTACAGTTTCTAGACAATGAGAAAAAAAATGGTGTACCTTGAAAAATAAACATTTGGATCTGAGCCTTTGTAAAGGTGAGGTGATCCCACAGTAAGGCAATAACAAGAAATGGCAGGTTTTATGTAGGAGGCATGCCAAACATTGTTTCCCAGGACTTGGAGGTGAGTGTTGGCACCGTGGTTCCTGCTCTATTGTAAGCATGCCTATTTTAAAATGCATCTAGTTCTCCTCCATCTGAGAAGCTGGTGACCCAGGCACTGGGAGAGTGACAAGTGGCTGTAATGATACAAAATCTGGTGGTATATTAAATGCAGAAGAGCAGAGCTGGATTCAGTGTTGGACTGAAGTGGAGAGTGATTGACTGATGCAGTAGTTTGCTTGTGGAGGCTGTGGAATCTCCTTCCTTGAAGATGTCCAAGACTCAGCTGGCTGTGATCCCACACAACCTGATCTAATTAGATCTAATTAGACATGCTTTCAGCTGGGGTTGAGTTCAATGGACTCCAGAGGTTTCTTCCAACTTGAATTACTATTTGATGCTGTGAAGGGGCAGTTTGTACCAAGGTCTTAGTGTGCCAGGCTCCCCACAGAATCCAGAGGTGTCTTCCTGCTGGCTATGCCAGTGGAGCATGGAATCCCCCAGGAGGAAGTTTCTGCCTGCCAATTACTGATTTTAATCTGAAACTTTAACACCCACATAATTAGTTCACCTTACAGACAGCAAGAGGCTTTTGTTTGCATGAGCTTTTAGATTTGTACTGAGAGAAAAACACATGTGCCATATGTTTTTGTTCCCTGTCATTTCTGTTCTGCTTCACTGAGAGTGGCTGAGACTGACTTGAAGTCTGGAAAATAACTGTCAAAACAAAAGTAGGAAATGGAGAGTATGTTTGTGCTTACCATTTTGTCATTGTTGCAATATGGAATCCACTTCTTTGGCAGATGAACTGAAAGGTGTCCCCCTTCACATACAGAAATTACCAGCTCTCTAAACTAATAGGAGTTCCTGTTTTCTTTGGCTCACATCATCCTCAGCAGTGGAGGTTTTATTCTAATTATAATTTAGTTCAAGTTTTATCCTCACAGATATGTGAGACAGAAAACCACTTTCCTTGTTCTGCATTTTGGTTTGTGTAGTTCAGGAAGCAGCCAGGAACAGGAACAATTGGTGTGGAGTAGAACTCTCACAAAGTGATTACATGTGTCACATAAGTCACCTCTTCTCAGGAAGGTGTGGGAGCCCAGCAGGACACTTGGACCCTGCAGGTGCCATGAGTGGAGTAAAAGATTCCTTGAGACTGAGTGTCTTTGAGAGGGGACTCTTCAGGCTAGAGTAATTTTTAGTGGTGAGGTTTGGTTGGTTTTTTGTTTGGATTTTTTTTTTTTTGAATGATTAATCTACTAGCCTTTCTTAATTTCTCGTTAGAAGGTTGTGGTCAGGACTGTATCCATAAATATCTGTAAATGTAAACTAACCTTTTTTTGTGATGGGAAATTCTGAACAGCTCTAACCCTATTGACAGAGGCATGGAACTGAATTGATGACTATGTCTATCTGTGTTGACAGGTTATTAATAGAAATTACAATCAAGCTGGACGTATGACTGTAATAAGAACACTGTTTTTCAAAGGTGATACCAAATCAGTTATCTGAATACGTGGTATCTTGACTTGATTTTTATTGTGCACAACTTGCTGTATTATGGAAGGTAAATAAGTTGCTCATTTCACTGGCATACCACATCAGTTTGCTCCATTTTGTTGAGAAATCCTTGATCATTTTATAATTTTTGATTTTTTGAGATGAAACTTTGAAGTACATTACTTTTTGTGGAATGATAGGGAAGGTGAAGGAGGCAACATAAGTGTTTATAGTTGCTTTCAGTCTTTTTCAGATTCCTGCAACAAATACACCAGTTTTCTGCTTCCTTAGTGTTTAGTTTCTGTAGCCTAGAACTTGTTGGACTTTGGTCTTTTGAGTACCTCTACTAATTAAAGAGGAATAAACAGAATTAAAACCAGATTTTGCAGATTAGAACAGCCATTCAAATCTTGTGGAGGATTACTTTATTCAGAAACTACAGTTGCACAAGGGAGTCTGCTGAATAGAAGATAAGAGGAAGAATTTTTGGTGCTTGAAATCTGGAAGAATTTCAGCTGCAGAAAAGAAGGGCACTGGTGAGTTTTTCAAGAAGCAGGAGCACACGCAGCTGACTGTGCTGGATTTTTGCAATTCCCTTCACTGTGCACAAAAGCCCAGTGCTCTGCTGCTCCATTCTTGGCCTTCTGTGATGTGCACAGGACTGAAGCTGAGCAAGGCTGTTCAGTTTTGCTGCTTTTACGTCTGTGCTGCACGTAAGCTGCAGCGCAGTGAAGCTGCAGTTAGTGAGGAGATGGCGCTGTCACCTTGGTCTCCTGTCTGCTACTGAGTGCTCCCCTAGGATTTTGCACATTGAGGGAACCCACAGGGACCAGTGTCCAAAGGAGAGGGGATAAGACATAATTTTCCCTTAACTCTTGTGTTCTGGAGCAGGGCTCTGGGCTGGCTTCCCTGCACATCCTGCCTGAGGAGAGAGCAGTGCTGTGGCAGCACGAGGAGTGATGGCAGCGGCCATGGCCCTGCAGTGGCCTTGGCTCTCCATGCCCAGAGCTGCCCTTGCTGGGGAGTAAAGCCCAACTCCTAAACCCTGCAGAGCTTCCCTGGGTTTGCCTTGAGCACAAGCCTCAGCAATCACAGGCTGCTGCTTGCAGGGCTGCTATAATTGCCCTTCTCTAACAAGTAAGTTTTCACACATGGAGATGGTGAAGTTTCCTGGCCCTTTGTTGGTGGGGAAGTGTCTGCCAGGGCTGTGTTTGAGACTTGTTTCCTGCAGTCCTGGCAATTGCATACCACGCATTCAATGCATAGTTAATTTTGCATGAAGTGTTTCTATCTGCAGGACAGTTCCTAGGAAGCACATGCAAGAAAGGAAGATAAGTGTGTTTGTGTTTGTTTAAAATTGTAGTCAGGGCTTCGGTTGGAAGCAGAAAGCCGCGTTCTCTCAAACGCTGAGGGCTGCACGTGCCAGTGGGGCAAGATCGTTGTACGTTTTTGGTCAGCATTTAAAGGGTTAATTGCTGTTTGTATTTTTTTATCTTTATAATTCATAATTAATAGACCACTTTATTAAGATGATAGTCAATCTTCTACTTATTTTACTGACAGATTTCATGTGCCGAAACTCACAGGCTTAAACTTGTTCTCTCTCACGTTTTTCTCATGCCTCCCACCTCTTCCTCCACAAATTATTTGATACCTGTGGGTATAACTTGCCAGTGCTTGTAAGAAACCTTAAAATTTCTGCACAGAAAAGTTATGTAAAATAATAAATAATGCTTCCTTAAATTTATATTTGCTGCCAAGTGTTTTCTCTCCCTATGCAAATATTGACTGTGTTAAATTCTGAAAATGAAATGATGCTTTGTGACCTGCTGTAATTTGGACAAATAAAATATTAATTTTTCTCTCAACAGAAAATTTTTAAAGCTGGGGATACTAACCAGGATGGACAGCTGGATTTTGAAGAATTTATGCAGTACCTTAAAGAACATGAGAAAAAGATGAAACTGGCATTCAAGAGCCTGGACAAAAACAATGATGGTATACTTTGATTTATTTTATTTGTTCAAACATTGTCTGAAGAAACTGCATTAAAAGTAGTGTAACTTATATTTGTCTGACTGGAAAAAAAGTTGTGAATATGGAATCCTTCTTTTCCTTAACATGATCATAATTAAAGTTTGCTATAGATTAAAGAAAAAAAAATTAGTCTTTATTCTTTCTATTTTCTCCAAGTACACTGAACTGGGGCTCCTTATTCCCCAGATGGAGAAACTGTGAGGAAATTTCTGACTATTTCTAGCTATTAAAGATAAACCAGTTTTTAACTAACTGTATATTTGCATCCTATTTGTTTCGTCCTTGTAGTAGACAGTCAAAGCACATCATCTCTGCTAAGCTGATTTTTACATCATCTTTGCAATTATTTAGCTGTTGCAATGAGCTCCAAGGTGCTAAGATCCACATTTTAAATATGTATCATCTTTATTTTAATGTTTAAAGGAAAAATTGAAGCCTCAGAAGTTGTCCAGTCCCTCAAGATACTGGGTATAAACATTTCAGAAAAACAGGCAGAAAAGATCCTGCAAAGGTCAGGAATTATTATTTTTTGAGGCAGCCTAATCTTCCTTGTATTGTTAATTTCTATATTTTTCTATTTCAGAGAGGGGGATAAATGGGATTATGACTTTGAAAGGTGTTGCTAGTTACTATTGTAGCATCTGGTTCTGGGAGGAGAATGTTAATTTATTTCTCTGGAAAGGTTGTTGATAGAAAGAAGCACTGTATTATGTTTTTAAATGGAATGGGACCGATGCACTTGGATAAGAGAAGCATAGTTTTGAAAGGCCACGGCAGATTCAGCCTTGAAGTCACTATATGGAATTTACAGTCAGTTTGGAATTTACAGTTGTTATTGATGTGATAGCCCAAGTTAAAAAAGGGGGTAGAGGGGGTAGAAAGAGCAAAAAAACCAGAACAAAACCCCACCATTACTATTTCCTTATATAGTTTTGTTCAATTTCTTTTCAGTATTGATGCTGATGGGACAATGACAGTAGACTGGAATGAGTGGAGAGATCATTTTATGTTTAATCCAGCTACAGACATTGAAGAAATAATTCGATATTGGAAACATTCCACTGTAAGTTCAACTTCCCTTTTAACCTAGTGCAGCTCTTAAGTTCATCTCTGATGTGTTAATTTGTGATATTGAGTATAACAGCTTCACACTTGTTATGTTTCAAGCATATCTGTATTGTTTGGTTTTCCTTTGCACTTCATGCTCTCCCATTCGCAAGCAGGATTGTGTCAGATAAGTTCCTTCTGAAAGAACATCATCATATCAACTTTGCAAATAATTATCAGTAATTCTTAGGACAGAATCATTTTCCTCTTTTGGCGATATTTCACAGAAAAATAATAACCACAATATTAAATATTATTCTTTACACATTACAATACAATTTGATTTGTTGAAACCACTTACATAGACATTTTAACTGTTTCTTATGTTGAAATTAGTATTTGCATTATACAGTATCATTATAATTATCATAAAATCAGTGGTGTCTTGACTGGTGATTTTCTGTGCACATTGTTCTCTTTTGTGCCAAAGAATTGAATTTAAGCATACAGAATATGCAGCAATAGGTTATCCACTGTGCAGAGAAATTTTTTAAGTTTTTACTGCATTGAGCTGTTAACACCTCGGTGACTGATTTTTAAGAACAATAATAAAGTAAGTAAACCAACAGTAATCCTGTTTGCGAAATATCCTTCCTGTAGATTATTGGAGGAAATAAAGCAAGGTTGGATGCCTTTGAATATAGTGAGACCATTTATATCTCCAGGGATTAGTCAGCATTTCCATAATAAAAAACATTTTATGAGATCTGAGAGCTTTGAGTGTTTGACACAGTACAACCTCAGCTGAGGAATGCTTGCCAAAAGGCAGTTAGCTCCCTGTTTGCTGAAGAGAGCACTTGAAGCACTGCCATGACATCAAATAGTCCTGGCCCCAGCTTGCTTAGTGGAAAAAACCTCTGCTTTCATAGAATGCTCCTTACTATTATTACACATAAGATCTGTATTTTTGGTTTTTATTATGGGATGTCATTAGTTGCCCCCAAGAAACAACTGAGGGAGTCTCCTGTGATCCTGGTGTTGCAGTCAGCTGATGACCCAGTTATCACAGCAGGCAAAATCCAGCAACACAGCTGGTCTTTGAGATAAGAGCAGATGTGAAACCTCCCAGCCTGGCTGGCTTTTACAGACAGCTCTTACAATTCTGTTTTTATTCTATAATTGCTATCAGACCCTTCCAAGCAGATATAGCTGCATTGGCATAGAATTATAATGGTAGCTGTGGCCTTTCCTTATAAACACCCTCAAATTTATCTTTTTTTTTTCCCTTAGTTGTGTTTAGGTCTCAGTACACACAAGGTTTAAACCCTGGTAGATATGCATAATATGTCTTAGGACACTGAATTTATGTTTTGAGAGTTTTGATTGATCTTTTGATGTTTCCATAGTTGAGCAGCTGATGACTAACTTTGAACCCTCAAATGCAAGAAAGATGAAAGGATTTTCCAATTAATCTCTTCTGTGTTCAACATCCAGAATAGATGGTGCTTATCCTTTTTGTTCAGTGGCTATATTTACACTCTGCATTCTGCAGTTTTTGTCCCAAATGACCAGGACAGTATTCTATCTACTGACAGAGAGAGAATGCAGCATAAATTAGGGATATAATGTCTACAGTTAAAATCAATGGTAGTTCACAGGCTTATCAGTTAACACACTTTCTGGTCAGTCCTTATCAGTTATTAATACAATTTTGTTCTTTTTATAAATTAATAGCAGATTTGCATTATCTGCAGTGTACTTTTTCTCATGTATAATGATTATAGGTTACACTTAGGAGCAAAGTGACATGTGAGATTTCACAGTGTTATGTCTTAGTTTTTTTATCATTAAAACCTGTATTAATGTTGTTCTTTGATCAAATCCAATGGCAATAAAACGTGCCCCCCTTAGTGAAATGTCAAACTCTTACAACTAAAAAAGTAATTAAATGTGTCTTTGAGTATAACTGATGATAAGAGAATCTGTAAGGTATCTGTCAAACTATTAATTTGGTAGGATAATACACAGCAGTCACTGGAAATAGAATATTCTGATATATCAGCTGTTAAAACCCTGCTTTAAAATGCTGGGGAGTCTGGGAGAAGGAGACATCCCACATGTGTGAATAAATGACTGTGAGAGAAATCTCCTGTTAGCAACCTTAAGAGATTACCAAAGTAATCCCACAAGACTGTCTGGTGAAAGGTTAGCTGCAACATATAAGCATTTGAGCTTTAGTGCTGACTTTAAAGGACTGCCGATCATGACAGAATGTCTTTGCTTGGGCCATACTCAAGGAGGAAATTTGTGGTAATTTTTAATGATGATGGTGCAGTCTTTGAAATGGTGGGTCTGTTGTGTTATTGCTCAATATCGATGTAGAAGTCACTTAAAGTTGCTTTTCATCGAATAGCAATGCATAGCAAGTTAATTATAAAATGTAAATTAGAGATATTTATTTGTAACTAGCCCTTTATTTGCACATTCTTAGGTAGTATATTCATTTGGAGTTAGAACTGTGGATAAAACTGAAGTGATGGAACGAGATAGTTATTTGCACATCTTTACTTTGGATTCATAAAGGTATTGGATATAGGAGATAGTTTGACTGTTCCAGATGAGTTCACAGAGGAAGAGAAGAAGAGTGGGCAGTGGTGGAAGCAGCTGTTGGCAGGAGGAGTGGCCGGTGCTGTCTCTCGAACAGGCACAGCACCCTTAGACCGCCTCAAAGTCATGATGCAGGTAGGTGCAATGTTCAACAATTTCTTGGTGTCCAGTGTGTCACTTCAGTTTCTAGAGATCTGTTGAGAAAAAATGGGGGACCCACGGTCAGTGTTTACATTGCAGAGGTCTGGCTGTGTTTTGACAATTTCCGTTTTTTTGTGTTCATAAAAATGGTATTTTATAGGTGTGGGGGAAATGTAAGCACAACGTTACAGTACTTGTGCTACTAAAATTAGATTTTTTCAATAGTGCATGTGGTTTTGTTACTTGATATATTTAATCAATTTAATATGATGAGTTTTATAATCTAATCAGAGCCATGTTCTGTACTGTGACTTTGCTTTTGGGTTTTTTTAGGTTCATGGTTCAAAGTCAAACAAAATGAATATAGCCAGCGGTTTTAAGCAAATGTTGAAAGAAGGTGGTGTCCGATCCCTTTGGAGGGGAAATGGTGTAAATGTTGTGAAAATAGCTCCTGAAACAGCTATTAAGTTCTGGGCTTATGAACAGGTAGGATGATAAATCAATAATGAAAATAATGCCAAATAAAGTCCTAAATCACTCTCACTGTTCATTATTGGCACTGTTGTATTATATAGGACTGTTGTCATCTTGTCCCCTTGTCCCAACTTGTCCCCTTGTTAGGGATTTTGTCGTAGTAATTTAAGTGACTTTCAGATTTAAAATAGCCTATAGAATACTTACTGTTAGGCAGATTTTACTGTTGTATTATAAGCAGTGCAAATGAATTAGAGCTGTTACATGTTTTAAACTGTCCCTGATTCTGCATGGCCTTGTGTGGAGTACTGCATTAATATCTTGGTTATTACTGCAAAGTGACAGCAGGCAAAGACTTGGCACATTATGCTAGCTGAACTTTCAGGGGGTTCATTTAAAGTCAAATATCACAGTGCTATGTATGATGCCCTCATCCTGGATTTCAGAGTTATATTTACCTCTGAATCAGCTTTAAGCATCATGTTAAGGCCTAATCCTCCTTTGGAAAATGAACTCCCATTCTGGTATATTTAAATGAGATTTATTTTTGCTCTGTGAGGCATGCTAGTGCCTCAAGTAAGATGAAATGATCACACTGCACATCTCTGTACACAGAGGAGATAAAACCAACAAAATATCTAATAAATCTGGGGATGTTGCAAGACTGAACAGCAGATTTGGTGCCACAGAGTAACTTTGGGCACATTATTCTTTACTCATGGAATGAACACAGTATGTACAGGGCTCAAAGTGCTTCTGTGAAATTGAATATGTGCTTCTGTGAAAACTTTCATTCTTTGATTGGCAGGATCTAGATCTGCTAGGGAATTTGGTTCCCCTCTGTTTTCTGGAGTTCTTAGTGTAGGTACCCTTGATTTGGCTGTTCGCAGAATACCTGATGGTACTGTGGGTGACTGAGGTATTTAATCTAAGAATTCTTGCAGGCTTGAATGTTTTTTATTGTGCTCTGGAGAATCTTTTTGGGTTAGCAAATATGACTGTAAATGCATGAAAAACTAAGAACAGCTTGAAAAGACATTTTGTACTATATTTTTGCCTTTTATAATAACTCTTACCACTCCTAATAAAACATGTGTATTTGTGTTTCAACTATGCAGTATAAGAAGATACTCACGAGGGATGATGGAAAGTTAGGCACTGTTGAAAGATTTGTATCTGGTTCTTTAGCTGGAGCAACAGCACAAACTTCTATTTATCCCATGGAGGTAAGAGAATCTGCTTCCATTGGAGCCTGCAAAATGTTTGGTTTGTTTCCTAAGTAAACCCCATTTTCCTCTTGGGAATATTGTAAAAATTCCACTCTAGACTGGTACCCAAATTTTTTACTTTGGACTTCCTTTCAGACTTTCAGTGCTAGGCATTTTAGATTATACTAAGTTCTAACTGATTCTTGTAGTATTTTGCTGTATAGTATTTTTTTAAACAATATTTAAATAAAACCTAGTGAAGGAAAAAAGTTCATCCAAGAGCATTTAAAATTCAGTATGTATTCAAGCATTTTGTAAATTTGGCATAAATCCTTTTCCAGCTATATGTAAGCAAGGAGTAGTGCTGTCTGGACAGATCTGAAGTTCTGTTGTGTTATGATGGGAAGCTGTGTCTGATAAGGAGAACAGTGTGGGAGAAGGATGTAACAGCTACAGCTCAGGCTGGGTGGATTGGCTCCTCTTTCCCCTGTAGGACATCCCTGTAGGTGGTACTGCACACTGCAATTTAACTAGTGTAAATACATTAACTGCTCCAGTGTAACTGTAACACACCATTTCACAGAAACAGCATGTATTTTCTTTACTGCTGGTTCTCCACAAGGTTTATCACTTGTGCAGATCCTTGTTGGAATAGATGCTGGGGCTGGGACTAAACCAATACCAACATCAAGTTTGGTAGAAACGGCAAATGTAACCTAAGTAGCCTTTTCAGGGGTGGGGATTTCAGTAGGAATGGAACTGTTGTCATTGCTGAAGTAATAATGATCTCTTTAAAGAGCATCCTTGCTGTTCCAGAGGGCAAATTCCAGCTGAGCTGAGTACAGAGATGGGTTAAGGTAGGGAGGAACTGAAACACTATGTAGATTGTCTGGATTACACTGATCAGGGGAGACAAGGGGACTGTTCTACAGTATCTTCTGGTCTTCCTCACAAAGATATGGTACTGTCCCAGAAGTGTTTTTAGGAAGTTTCTAAATAAGAGAGAAAAGCCAAGTGCTGGGAAATTGCTGAGGGAGATGCAATCTTATGAGGCTTTAAAGTAGACCAAATTGTTGATCAGGAAACTTCCTCTGTGGTTTCTTCTGGATGCTGTTACTAATTTCTTTGTCCTAAGATGCAGTACAGACTTGCTGCTTGCATTATTAATCAGGTGCTGGGTTTCAGTGGTGAGACACAATTATTCCTTGTATTCCTCAACTACCTCTCTAAGTGCCATGCTTTTTGAAATATTATTTTCTTAATAGGCTTTAGTGTTCCCAGATCAGAAGTATCATCTGCTAGTATGTTAGTACTCTCACTTGAGCCTTAGCTAATACTTCTATTGAATATTGCCTACACTGTTGCCTTCAAGCTGATCAAATAACTGCCTGTTTTAATCAAGAAAATAAAGCTAAAATGCAATTTTAAAAGGCTAAGAATTTGTAAGCTAGTGTATATTAATGTATGGTGCTCTGCACTGAGGACAGAACTTGAAGAAGCCTGCTGCTAACAATGCTTTACCAGTAATCAAAAGAGATTTGCAGCATCAAAGTGAAAAGGAGTTCTAGAAAATGCAATAAGCAGAGATATAGTGTGTATCTAAAACAGATTAATTAATAGGTATGTAATTAAGACTGCTATTTTTTTCCTTTTAGGTTTTAAAGACCAGATTGGCTGTGGGTAAAACAGGGCAATATTCTGGGATGTTTGACTGTGCTAAGAAGATTTTAAAAAGAGAAGGTCCAAAGGCCTTCTACAAAGGCTATATTCCTAATATTCTGGGTATAATTCCTTATGCTGGCATTGACCTTGCTGTTTATGAGGTGAGTTTAGATCACTGAATGCATGTAGCTGTCATTAATTAATTTACAAAAAGCCTAAATATATTTAGAATGTGTGCGTTATTGTACAATTACAGCTGGTTCAATTTTAAAAAGATAAATGAGACTTTCCACTGATGTTACTAGACCTCAATGTTTCTGTTTGCTCCTCTTGAGGAGTGCCTGGGCAGATGGGCCCTTCCATGCAAGAGTACCAAGCAGGAAATGTGCTATGAGAGAATTATAAGACCTTGGCAGTACCACAAGCTTTCATACTTAACCTTGTTAGACTGGAACATACCCATTTTATGGGAAATACATGCCTTTAAAAGGATATTCATATTATGATAGTTTACAGATTTTTTTGCCAGTTGTTAGGTTTATGAGTGGATTATATTAACCTGAATTCCTTCTGTGTCTCTGCATGTTACCAGAATTCTTTCTGGCTGACACAGCTTTTCTGAGGAGCTTGAAACACTGCTGGCCTTCCTTTCCAGAGGAACTGGCACCTATTTCACCCACCAGTCTTTTTTCTACCTTAGATAATATGTGTTGCTTCAAAGTGTCTTAAATAACTCAGACATACAGACTAAATTTTTTTTGCAGTCTAGACAAATCTTTTTTTGACACCGCATTAGTCATCATCAGAAGTGTTTGAACAAACATTTTCAAAACTGTATGGAATTTCTTTTCTACAGTTTGCATCCTTGTTTCTGCATGGGGTGATGTGCACAGATGTGTGAGCTTTTGTTGCACTCTGTGGGGTGCTGGGTTGTTTCCCACCTCCTCTCCCCAAAGTATTACAGGTGCGTGGGCCCCTTCCTGCTGCTGGATCTTTTAAGGATTTCTCTTCTAGGTACTAACTGTTGTAGTCTGGTTGAAGTCCTTCCCTGTGTGCTAAGGTGTGCACTTGAAGCATGTAGTGAAATTGATCCAGTGAATTTGGTGCTTTTCAGGATTGAGCCCTTAGGATTTGTTATGAATAAAGAAGCATTTGTTTACCTTTTTGAATGCAAATCTGTTGTCTTACTGTTTAATGTTCTACCTTGGCAGCTCTTGAAGAGTACGTGGCTAGAGCACTATGCATCAAGCTCTGCAAACCCAGGTGTGTTTGTGCTGCTGGGCTGTGGCACTGTGTCCAGCACGTGTGGGCAGTTGGCCAGTTACCCTCTGGCTCTCATCAGAACACGCATGCAGGCTCAAGGTCAGTTCTCCTTCCTGAAAATGCTTCTGTGGGGTCACATGAAAATTGTATCATGTGGGATAGCTCTAGCACAGACATAGGAATAAAAAAAAACAACATGGAAAAACTAAGGATGTATCTGGAAAATTCTTCTTAATGTTAGTCCCTTCTGCCTCTTACCCCCAACACTGTTGTTCTTTATACTCAATTTAAAAAGTAACATTTCAAGCCCTGGTGCTTTGTATATTCTGAGAGCCACATTCCATACAAGAGTAGCAGACACAGCCCCTGTTATAGTCTGGAAGACTCTTCTAAACTTCATGATGTTTTCTAAATTTTAGAGATTAAATGATAGGGCTTGAATTGTCCTGAGAGGGTAGACAGCAATGTTTGCTCTGTAGGGAATTCCATTAGGATAGTTTCATAGTTGAGATTTTTGTTTGGTAGGTTTCTGCAGGCTTAAGGATGGCCGCCTAGATTTCCAAAAGAACATAGGTGGATGATGCTTTCCACTGGAATTTAGACACATGGATATCTCCCAAATGTCTGGGATTAAAACATCTCTTTTCAGTGGACCTGAGATAGTAGGCTCAGGATCCAGGTGTTTGAGACTTGCTCAAGATTTTTAATATTACTAGAACTGTTTTATAACACATTATCTTTTTGTTCTAGCCTCAGTGGAAGGAGCTCCACAGCTAAGCATGGTTGGTCTCTTTCAAAGAATTGTTGCTACAGAGGGACTCCGAGGACTTTATAGGGGCATAGCTCCTAATTTTATGAAAGTGCTTCCAGCTGTCAGCATCAGCTATGTTGTATATGAAAAAATGAAACAGAATTTGGGAATAGCATGAAATGAAGGAAAAAGGTGAGATGCTTCTAATGCTGTTGGAAACACCAAAACAATAATGTTTTCTCAAGTAATCTGCTCTCACAATTAGAGACAGATCTTTATAGAGAGATGCTGCAACTTCCACATTTGTCCTTAAGTGGGAAGAAACATTCTTAAATTTTAGTTCACCATTTTTAAACAGATACGTATATTGCACTTTAAAATGTCACTGAGTTGAAAAAAAACAATCAAGAAACTGTCTTTAAATCAGCAGTATGTTCCTATATTTAGGAAATCATGCATATTTTACTCATTGGGGTTTTTTAAATTTGTCCTTTCTAAACGTGTATTTGTCTTGGATGAAACCAAAGGTAGGAGAAGTTTATACTGCCTTGATACTGAATACATGAAAGTGACTTTGTGTTTTGTCATGCTGCCTACACTCAAGCAATTCACAGGCGACATTTTGCATGCCTAGAAGTGAGCACTTTTGTTATTTTTGAAGACTGAATGTTAAGTTCATAAGAAATAGCATCTTGGATACACACAATGATGGAATAACACATTAAAATGTAGCCCATCACCTTTGTCTTCAGGCGAACCTTTTTTATTTTTCATTATTTAAAGAGCTTGAGAAACTGCTGTTCTGCAGTATTGGAATACCTCAAATGGATTTACACGGTATTTTTGTAATACAATCAGCAATTTTGATAACTTGCTTCACTGGACCTGCTTTTCATGGCACTTGTAAACCTCAGCACTATTAACTATGGCATAATTTGGGTTACAGCTGCATGTTTTATAGGATCATAATATAAAGGAACAGAAAAAGCTTGGATGTTAGATCCATTCCATACAAGTGCAAGTTGCTATTTAAAAACAGGATGGAGGATCCAGTATGAAGCTGGTTGTAATTCTCATACAGCCAATGGCAGAGCTATTCATAGCTCTGGGAACAGGAATGCTTGTCATTTTGGACTCTCCATTCTTTCCCTTGTTCAGAGGGCTACATCCACTCTGTACTTTTAGCATTATTACATAAAGGATTTTTACAGTTTTGTCATGCGAGATCAGTCTTCTGTGCACATTGGCTGTGGGTGTGAAATTGGGATAATAAAATACTGAAGTGTTTTGTCCAGGTGACCAAGTGGCAGTGCTGACCTCAGGTGCCCATCAGATTGGTGTTAATGTATTAATGTAGCATGCAAAGCAAAGCATGCATACAGACCTGCTAGTGCTTGAGAAACAGCTCCTCCTCAAAAAACAAAGCAGCCCTTCCTCAATGCAGAACTTTAGGCATTTCCATGTACACAAGTCCTAAGTCCTTCCGAAGTGACTTCCTTTTTTTTTTTTTTTTTTTGGTGTGTGTGGAGGGGCACACAGTTGCCTTCAGGACTGAGCACTGAAATAGATTAACAATTATTACCAGACTCTTTTACTCTTTTGTTAGGCTTTTTCTGCTTTCTGTAATGTGTAGTGTCTTAATCTTAGTAAATTCGAGATTATACCTACCTTGACCTTCTAAAAGCAACTGCTCTTAGACCACTTTCTGAAATTGGATTACTGAAGGAAGAACTTTATTCTGTTAAGGTCATTAAGGGTCTTCTTTTTAATTCTTTCTTTTTTTGGGTGGGCATGAGGGGTGCATGGTTTTTTTGTTTGTTTTGTTGTTTTTTTCAGCAGAAAAATAAGCAAGCAAAAATAACTGCCTGAATCTCCCTTGTCTACATATGCTTTGGGCCATATTTTTCAAACAGCAATCACATGTAAATTTGTGTTCAGTGCTTCCGTGGCTGGTGTTTATTCTCCATAAACTGATGTATAGCAATTCCATAAAATCTGTATTATAGAATTTTTTATCACATTTCAGAAAATGGCAGCTCTAGCTGTATTTTGGCCTTCCCTTTAGGGAAATGTTGGACTTTGCACTTTAGGAAAAAAAAAGTAATTCTATCCAAGTCATTTATATGTATAATGCCTTTCTGATCAGAGTTTTCCTTGGTTTTGCCAATATCTTTGTACCTTTGTGGGATTTGTGAGATCAGTTGCTGGTAATTTTGTTTGACTGTGACCAATGAGCAAATGTATTGTGTGTGTGATGTAAAGATGACTTTAGCATTTCTATCTTCCAGACTTGTTCCATTTTGTTTATAGTATGCAAGTGCCATTATGAGTATTAAAATCATGGTGACCTTTTCCAATGTTGAAAATATGAGCTGTTTCAGATTTGATTTTTCATTACGTGCCTTGATGATGACTCAATTGTGTGGTCAATTGTGTATTCTTTGTCTCTTAAATGTATGTTTACCTTTCTAGCTCCATAAAACTACCAGTTTCTAATAAATCTTTGTTTCCTTATCTGGCTGGAGTGTGCTTATGTGTTTTTTTCAAGGTCTGATAGATGACACTTCTTTATTGCATTACATGCATAATACTCAATGTAAAAAATGGAGGCAATTGATCTAAAAGTAGATTTCAGACTAGACTATGCTTTGCTATTACATTGATCCTTGAAAACAGTTAGAGATAAGTCAATTTCCATCCAGTTTACCACTGTCTCATTGCTTAATGGAAGACCACATGTTGAATATTTTTGCTGTTCATTGAACAGTGTTAACCAATAATTTGCTTCTGTGTACCTTGAGTGACAGAACTCTTTATAATCAGGGACAAACTTGCTTGTATTACTGCTGATCTTGCTTTGTTGTTAATCTTACTTGTTAGTCAAAGGATCAATATAAAATCTTTTCAAGGTAATTGACTTAATTTACTCTGCATGTGTAGTATGGCTATGCTGCTAAAAGCTTGTTAGTTGCCAGCTTTGACAACTCCTTTTGAGGTTTTCACACTAATCCTTCAAATGTTAAAGATAATTGTAAACAAATTAGGGGAACCTTTTCTTGTCTGCTGCAAATACAGTTCTTGTAACATAAAATTTAGAAGTTTTCTTTTAAGTAATGGAAGAGGTAGATGCACAGTCTGTGATTCCTGACTAAGTGAATAATTTGATCTTCAATTTGACTTGAGGCAAGAATGCTTTTTATTGCAAGTGCTCAACAAGAAGAGCCCAGAAGGGAAAGGGAATTCCCTTCAAGATGTATGTGGAGTGTGACAGCTATCCAGTATCATTAACACTAAAAACACTGCAGAAATGGCATGAAATCTAAAATAGCACTGCCAGTGTGTGTCTTTCCCTTTTGATTGTGGTGGGCTTCCTGGCAGGGTATGCCTGCTGCAGCAGGGGCATTCCTTACAGTGTCCCAAGCCTCCTGGCACACCTGCCTCGTGGAAAGGTGAACTCTGTGTGCTGAAAGCTCCTTGGCACCTTTATTTCCCTCCTGCTAAAGAGGAGGCCCTGGTGCCCAGCACTCCCAGGTGAGACTGGTGTGAGCCTGCCTGGTGCCCAAATTGGCCTTCATAGGCCCAGGCTGAGGTGACTTTCCTGCCTTGCTTCTCATTTCTGAGCTGGCTGCACTCGCTAGTACAGGCAGGATGTATTGGCAGCTTTCTCTTTGTGACTTTCTGATTTTAAGCAGTTGGATAAGGTGTACAGCAAGATGTGTGTTGCAGTAAGTGGTACTGCTGTGTATAAATTACTAAAATATCAAGAATGTCTCAACCTGCAGGCTATTTGCTGTGCAAGGAAGTGTGGTTTTTAAATGCTTCCCCTTCTGATGTCAGAGTTGTTATGGGAACGGCTTTTAGGACTCAAAACAAGATACTGATCCTAAACTGTACCTTGTGGAGAACATAATTGATAAGAACTGGATATTTAACACAGAGTGATTTGGGAATATTGACAGTCTTGGTGTGTAACTTAGGACTAGCTTCTAAACCCTCTTGGTATCTGAAAATGTGATGAAGTATTGCCTTTTTTGTCAATATTTGTCCAGGGTAAAAATTGTCTGTGTTTTGGCAACTAAATAAATGCTTGAGTACTGTGCACCTCAGCTCTTACACATTGCATCTGCTTTGCTAAAGGGTTAACAAAGAATTCTATTATGTACTGTGTAAGTTTTAGAAAACACCTATAGTGTGTATACACATATGCATTTACATCTATTTATGTACATACAAAACCTTATCTTCTTTGCACCAAGTTTGTGCATCTCCTTTGTGCAGCAGCTGGAACAGCTTCCAGAATGGCCTTTTACTTGAACATTCTTGGAGCCCTGAAACTGCTGTCACCGCAGAGCTTTTCCCTGCAAGCTCAAAGTAGGAGATTGAGAAGTCTCCTAAATAATGTGTCAGTGGTACTCATGCCAAAACCCAAAATGGTTTGTCGCCCCTAGGCTCATGTGAACTGGAATATCTAGTGCCCATCCCCTAGAAGTAGGGTGGTGGTAAAAGCCTTGGCTTGCAAGGTGGGAGTACAGTAGATGACCTTTTGGCTGGGTTCTCCTGCCATTTGAAACTAAGCCTTTTGTTAGCATACTGGCTCTGCAGTTTAGCTCTTGCTGAGGCTCTGATACAGAAGGACTTGTGTTTTTCCTAAAGCAAATGCCTTGGGGTTTAAAGTGTAACAGACGTGTATGAACGGCTCCCTCCTCCTCCAGCCTCACGAGCCCCTCTCCGGGCTGTTTGCAGGAATCCTGGAATGCAGCTCGGACTGCATTCCAGCAGTGCCATCTACTGTCCTGTTGGAGCACCCATTTCTGAGGGCATGGCTGTCAGGCTCAACGCTGGAGTTCATTCCCTGCAGTTATCCTCACAGCAGAGGAAAAGCACTTTTATAGCAGTGCAGCATAAGCCCAGCTATGCCATGTTTTTATCACAGAACCATGGAATCTGTAGCTTGCAAAGGAACTCTTGATTTTCTGTTGGCCCCAGCGTGGGTCTCTGTGATGGCCTGTCCCTGCAGCGCTCCCCATGCCTCCGTACCACGTGAGTTGCAGTTTGGTAATGGGGCCATTTTGCTTTCCCTGATTAAACAAATTCCTTAACTTTATCTGGCTTGCTGTGTAGATGCAGCAGCCTCTACCTCTTCCAGCATTGCATTGGTACCACTTTTACAGGTGATTTGTGTATGTTTCCTCCATCTAACCCTACTAGGTTACCATAAAACAGCTTCATGGATTTTGAAGCCCACACTCTTAGCTCCTTTTACGGCCTTCTCTGATAACTGCAGGCCAATTAGCTTCATTGAATTGCTTCAGTGTGTGTCTGTATCTGTCACATTCATTCCTTCCAGTGTAAAAAACCTTTCAAACAGTTGGGGGTGGGCAATAACTGTCTAAAGGAGAACTTCAGAGGCTGGGGTGTTTTAATAGGGCTTGGTTTACAAATAGGATTTCTGGGTAATCTTGGCAGTACAGATTACTGTCTCAATCCTGGCAGTAGCTCTGAAGCCATCCTTCTGAAAATAGATGCATATAAAAAATGTCACCTTTGCACAATAAATTCTAAAGCTAGCAATTCACATTCTGTACCTATCTCAAACGTGAAGGTTTTTACTGTCAGCTCAAAGATTGCTTGCAGTACACAGGAAAGAGCTTTTAGAGTTTTTTTCCCCCAAGACTGTCTTTTTTCTCACTAGCTGGACACATTTTGAAAGGTTTCAGTAGGTAAGGATTGAGATCTAATGCCAAATTTTGGTGGTGATGAGGAAAGATATAAAATTCTGCCTCATGCATCACCACAGTGATCTTGTTCATAACAGAAGTTTTGAAATTACTCTCTCTGGCTTAGGAAAAGGTTGTGCTGTGTGCATGGAAAACTCCTGGACACCACAAAACTCCATGACTTGCTCATACAAAGCCTTCTGCCTCTGGGGTGGCAGCAATATGTAACCTATCCTCATTAAGTGTCGTACTAATGAATGAACGACAGTGCACACATCTGATCCATCTGCCACATAAATGTTTAATTTTTCTTTTGCCAATCAGCCAGAGTTTGGCAGATGCTGCGCAGCAGAAAAAAAGCTGCAAGTGTGGTGTTGCATTTCTCCACAGGGAATTGCTGCTGGGGTAGGAGCATTTCTGAATCAGTCTCGACAGTGCCATCCTCTTGAAGTTAATATGGCTTAGATGTAAAATATTACTCACTGGTCCCTTAAGGAGTATCTGATTTCAGTTTGCTTCTCCAGTTGCTTTCTCTATCCTAGAGAAAAAATGGATAAAGGAAGAGTTTTATTCAGTATTCTCACTTGTTCCTGCAGACTCATACTCAATGTCCTTACCTTGCTGTGAGGCATTTGCTGGGCTGTTATCTAATGGCACTCATTTCCACAGTATGGCATTTTGATGGGAAACAGTGTGATCCTGTAGATAAGAGTGTCTTGCAGATGGAGATTTTTATCTCAGTTCTGCTACTGATCTTATATACATCCTTCCCCAGCATCTCTGGTCTCGGTATTTTCTTGTCTTGTAGGTGTTAAGCTCCCTGAGATTGCCATCATACTGTGATGGTTCAGTGTGTAGCCTCAGGTTATACTATGATACATATAATATTCTGATTAAAAATTAAGCCCTTGGCCTACAGCAGTGCTTGTTAAAGTATCATGCACTTTATTGACAGAGATTTTTCTCTTGGTTTGATGATGAAGATAATACCCTTGTGTGAGAAGAAACCTAATGGAAGCAGGAAATCAATCACATTCTAAAAAAAGTTGATTGCCAAAGCTGCCTGCTGGGATAAATTAATATTAATCTTACAGATAGTCTTTCATCTCTAAAAAGAAATTTGGCTTCCTTCTTGATTATTGTTTTTAGCCTTTTCTCCTAGTTTATTTTTAATTGGCAGTAGTGTCTTGCACTCTAATACAGCGATCTCTAACACTGCCAAGTAAGGAGTGTATCTCTCAGAGAACACTGACAAGCCACTGAGCTGCAGTGATAAAATCTGGTTTTAAAGAAGAAAAGTGCCAAACTCCAGGGCCCAGTGTTTTAACTGCCTTCTCTCACTGGAAGTGCCCTCGGCCCTTGGAGAATACATGTGGATGGAGGGGGTCTTGTGCTCTCTGAATTGCAAATGATGATGATGATAATAATAATAATAATAATAATAATAATAGCAACAACAATAAAGTGTAAGGGTTTTGTGCAGGTCTTTCTATGCAGGAGCCAGTCAGTGCTGGGGCGGGGAGGGCAGTGCCGCTTCTCGGCTCCTTTCTCTCGGTTTTTCCCTTGTATTTAGCTCGGTTTTCCCTTATATTTCCCTCGATTTTTCCCTTGTATTTCGTTCGGCTTTTCCCTTGTATTTCGCTCGGTTTTCCCTTATATTTCCCTCGATTTTTCCCTTGTATTTCGCTCGGCTTTTCCCTTGTATTTCGCTCGGTATTCCCTTGTTTTCCCCTTGGTTTTCCCTTATATTTCCCTCGGTTTTTCCCTTGTTTTTCCCTCGGTTTTTCCCTTGTATTT